AACATTTGAATTGCAACATCAAAGTTAAGTGGAATATTAGTAAAACTCTGAACTTCTGGTTTGAAATTCCCTACAGCCATACGTAACACACAGAAATGGATTTTCAAACCTAACAAATCTTAAATATATGATATGATCTTAGTCCCTTTACCCATTAAATAGATTATATTTTGCTATGGTGTTTTTTGCTAACAACAAAGAACAACAACAAAAAATCCAGTGTTTCTCATAAGAACATTAAAGAGACAAAAAGAATCCTAAATTCATCTATGCAATTTTTTTTTTTTTTTTTTTTGCCATTGAAAGAATTTATTTTCTGGGAAAAACAGGCAACTGCAAATTTTAAGATTCCCTCTGCTCTTCTGCTGGGGACAGAAGTCCTGCAGTTCTTTGACCATTGAGTGAAAGGCCTTTTGCCCCAAGGATGGGAGATGAGCTTCTTTTGTTATAGTGGTACCTCAGTTCACAAACTTAACTGCATGATTCTGGCTGCAAACTGAATTGGTTGCAAACCAAATCAGATTCATTGGTTAGGTTCAATGTTGACCTCATGGGGCATTTGGATTCAGTTTGTAGCCAATTTGATTTGTGACCAGAATTGTGGAAAGAATTAAGTTTGTGAGCCGAGGTACCACTGTACTCTGTTGTTGAGCAGTAGAGTTGAAACTAGATCTTAGGATATTGGATTTCTAGTTCATTTTAGTTTCTACCTTATTACTTATTGTTGTTGTTATTATTTTAATCCCTTTACCCTTTTATCATCTACATCTCCTATGTACTTAGATATTGATACATGTTAGATATGGGTGGTATCTGATCATTTTCTATTTGGCAATTTTTTGTTTAATTCTATTTTTTGTTTCTGTGCTTAGCCTAGGCATTCATCATCATCATCTAATCAACTGATACCTAAGGATCCTGGTTAGCTCTCTGCCTTTGATTCTTTGCAGTTTGTTCCCTGCTCTGCAGATAGATAGATAGATAGATAGATAAATTCTTTTTTTTTTTTTCTGGTACCAGGAGTCAAACTCAGGACCTTGCGCTTGTCCGGCAGGGATGGTGCCACTGAGCTACATCCCTGGCCCAGATAGATATTCTTTAAACAATATTTTGATCATGTTCTTTTCTACTTTAAGAACTTGAGTGCCTTCTTATTAATGTATGCAGTAAAAATTCTGTTTGACATTCCAAGGATCTCACATGATTGTGGCTTACCTATTTAATCTCATGGCTAGTTACTGCTCAGATCTGACCAGATGTTACAAATTTGTCTTCTACCTTTACATACAACTTTTGGATTGGTTATGTTATGTGTTTTTTACACTGAAAATTTCCAGCAGCCCTTTTCTTTATGTTGTCAGTGATGATTATTTCTTCTAGAAATACATGTTGTAGTCGTGCACATTTTTGCTGTAGCCAACAGCAATTCTGTTTATGTGAATGCACATGTGAATTTGGAAATGTTAATTTAAAAATGATCCAGAAGTTGTCAGAAGTTTCTAGATTATATTAGGGTACATACAAGCAAATAAGATGATTTCTGGGATTGGGAAAGGTTGTAAACATTGTATTACTGAAGCTTAAGTCATAGCAAATAGAAAAAAATTAATCATTTTCCTACTTTGTCCATAAGGGCAAGATTTAGCCCCAATTTAAAAACCAGACGTAGGTTGGATGAAGGAGGGTAGGAGCAAGATTTGCTTTAGCAATTATAAGCATAGGTCCCAAGGAAGAGTCAGTAACCTGCTGAGTGATATTAGGAGACAGCTAAGTAGCTAAATCTGACTTGAATTCAAATAATAAAAGACATGGTTTTTTAGTAAATTAAAGGATTGAGAAGTATACATGAATGCTAGGAGCCAGTATGTACCTATAGAGTTTGTACCCATTTTTCAAGTGAAAGTAAAATAGTTAAGAGATGTTTTTGTCATAATAGCTAAATCTTGGAAGCAGCCTATATGTCCATCAGTAAATGAATGGATAAAAAAAATGTGGTATTTAAACACAAAGGAGCACTGCCCTGCCATAAAGAATGATAAAATTGAGTCATTTGTAGGAAAATGGATACACCTTTAAACCTTAATGTTAAGTGAAATAAATCAGACACACAAGCTTAAATATTGCATGGTGGCCGGGGATTTACCTCAGTGGTTTTGCCGCCTGCTGTGCAAGCACAAGGACCCGAGTTCGATCCCCGGTACCAAAAAAAAAAAGAAATGTTAAATATTGCATGGTTTCTCTTATGTGAGAAACCAAAGTAAAAATAAAGACCAAAATAACAGATAATAGGAAGAAGGGAGATAGATCTTTCTCTAAGGAGAGCAGGGAATCAAGAGATGTATGGAAGGAGAGAAAGGGGATGTTAAAAAGAATTCCAGTGTATTATGTACATGTACCAATTCCACATGAAGAATGTAAACAAGTACAGAAAACATTTACAAAAAGGAAAAAAAAGAAAGGTATCAAGAGATGAATGGAGGGGGAAGGAAGAGAAAGGGGAAGAAAAAAGGAATTAAGATGTATTAAGTACATGTACCAACTTCCCACAAGGAATATAAACATTATATACTACAAACATATACTAATAAAAAAATTAAAACGAAAGATATTTTTGGCACCTGTAGTGTAACAAGTCCTATGTTTGACTGTGTGCTTACAAAGAGGAAAAAATTGGTCTTGACAAAAGTTCAAAGCTAAATGCAGAAGACAACTTATGTGTAAACAAATATACTGCCACAGGAAGATATACACTAAGTACAAGGTAATTTAAATTAGGAAATTGTACTACTGGTATATTTTGAGAAAAATGAAGAGGGAAGACATAGATAATTTGTATGATGTGAATGAATCATCCCTATAAAATGATTGTGGAACCAGAAAGGATGCCTCTCCTCCTTAAGCCTAACTAGGGATGGGAGAGTGAAAGACCATACTGTGGCCTCAGGGCCACCACCATTGTCTAGTCGCAGTGATGGTGAGCTTTTTAGAGGTTTCAGTGATACAGATAGCCTGCTGCAGCACATGTGCCATACATTCACCACCATTGGTAGAGAAAACAATCATTTCTCATAAATTCCTGGGTGAAGGCATCCAAAATGATCCAAAGGCTTTTGGGGTGCTCCTGACATGTCTGTCACTTGATCAAAATCTTACACTATTCTGAGGCATAAGACCAAATAAAAGCCTTTGGCTGACTAGTCTAGTCTCAACATAGTCTTTCTTTTAATTTTCTATCATTTATAATATTTTATATCTCTTTAAGATACCTTTTAAGAAATACATCATTTTTTAAAAAAGAAATATATCATTTTAGAAATGTTTCAGGTGTACCTTGCCTAATAAGAATGAAAAAATTTTTGACCTTTTAGATCTCACACAGAGTGACAGCTTTCCAGTAATTCTCTTGGATGTTGAATTAGTCAGTTTTTGCTGTAGCAGCAAACAACCCCTACATCTCTGTGGCTTATGATATCAGGTGTTTTTTCTCACTTTACTCTGCAGTTCATCTGTACTCACTGGCCCTGCTGGGCTTGACAGTGGTTTGTCACATGAGATCTCATCATGGAATCCAGGTTGAAGAATCAGTGTCTTCCTGGCACATGATCATCTCTTAGTAACATTAAGAACATGAACATCAGCACTGCTTAACTGTACTTCATGCCATGTTCTACTGGTCAAAGCAAAGCCCGTGGCAAAACACACACTAAAAATTAAAAGTGAGAAAACAGTCTTTGGCTATAGGATGAGGGATGGAAGAGTGAATGTTTACCGAAAAATAAAATGGAGCAATACAAGGGGTTTTTTTGGTGAAAAAAATATGTTTAGAATTAGCCAGATGTGGTGATGCATACCTATAATCCCAGCACCCAAGAAGCCGAGGTAGGATGATCCTGAGTTCTGGGCCAGTTACATAGTGAGTTCAAGGCTACCCTGAGCTACATGGTGAGACACTGTGTCCCTCCCCCCCGCCAGCTGGATTCAGCTTAGGTGATTTGGCAATATCTGAAAGTGTAAATGAGGACTAAAATGTATAATAGATATTGTGAAATAGGGAGAAATTGTTCAAAATAATGCCAAGTATCAGATGTGTTGGTAATAATTAAAATGTTTTATGTCCCCCAAAAAGGTATACGGGAGGCTGAGGCAAGAGGATTGCTGTAAGTTCAAGGCCACCCTGGGCTACCTAGTGCGTTCAAGGCCAGCCTGAACTACATAGTAAGACTCTGTCTCAAAAAAAACAAACAAACATAGTTTTCTTAGATGAATTGAGAGATAGATTAGCAATTGAAAATATATTCTTTTAAGATCACGATGACAGTGTAGTTACCATTGTTACTGTATTTTGTTACGAAATTTTTTCATAGAAGTGTTTTTATATATTTTTATTAATATCTACTTGTATTACATTAAAATTAAAAACACATAATTAGGAGCCAGTTGAACATATACATCTCCCCATGGTGGCTTTTCTTGGTACCTGAAAGGCTGCCTTCCCAACAAATTCTTTTGGCATGAACTCTCCCAGTAGACAACTTGGTCCAGCATCACAGAGAGTGACTTTCTAGTGAATTCTACTGGTGCAAATTTCTCAAGCTGCCCTGGTTGTGCCCTTGCCACAAGATCTAGATCTAAGCCCTGGTAAGAGTGGCCATTTTACAGATGTGGCACTTTCTTGGTGCTCCGCATCAACCCTAGCAGTAGGGGCAGCTTCTTCTGTGTTCTATCTCTACTCCTGAGTGGTTAATCTCCTGTTGTAATTAGTAATGTTTCATATTGAACTTTCCTGTTGAAATTGTCATGTGGTTTCTGTCTTTTAATGTTGCTTTGATATGTAGCAGTATATTTCTATAATGTTCTGAGGATTAAACAGGATAATGCATGCAAAGTGTTTAGAATAGTGCTGCCATAGAGTACTTATCAGTGTTTATTGGTGATGTTGATAGCATTGTCACTGCCACCACAGACACTAGCTGAGTGATGTTTCTCCTTTTTATCCACAGGATGTTTCGTCTTAACTCACTTTCTGCCTTGGCAGAATTAGCTGTGGGTTCTCGATGGTACCATGGAGCGTCACAGCCTGCCCAGACCAGGCGAAGACTAATGGTGGTGGCTTTCCTGGGAGCATCTGCAGTAACAGCAAGTACTGGTCTCTTGTGGAAGAGGTGAGTGTTATCTGGTCATCTTGTTCCACATGTCTTTTTTTTTTCTTTTTCTTTTTGTACTGAACTGCATCCCCAACCCATTTAAAAATTTTTTATTTTGAGACAAGATCTCACTAAGTTGCTCAGGCTAGGTTTGAACTTGCAATCCTCCTACCTTAGCCTCTCAGAGTGCTAGCATTACAGTCACGGACCACTGTGCCTGGTATTATGAGAAAGGAGTTGATTTTTGGCTTTACTTTATGTCAAAATTTCTTGCCCAAATCATTTGGCATTGACAATATTGGTCTATGAAATGTTTCGGGCCAAGGCAATAGATAGGAAACAGTGCTTCAAAGTCTGCCTGTCTCTTCTGCTAAACACTTTTTATAATAATATAGAAATGTCAGTAGTCATTTTAGAAAATAAATGTTTTCTGAATCTTCAAAATCTCATGAGCATAGAAAATTAACTAATGAACCTTAGTACTCTTGTGTCACCTGATAATTTCCTTGCTAGTTACTGAAACTTCCCTGAAGGGAAAAGAAAAAACAATGATCCACAGTCTTCTTTCTTAAAATACTGTACACAGGTACTATTTTTCTGACTTTTCCATTCTCTGGTTTTTATCTTTCACTTGATTCACCCTGTCTTATTAAATTACTATCATTATATTTGGCTTCCTCACAAAAGATTACATTTTTTCATTTTAATCAGTTCTATTAAAAAATAATCTATGTATAGCAAAATGAAGCCATTTCAAATATACAGTGTAACGATTTTTGACAAATATGTATAATTGTACAACCACCCCCAAATGTTTAAGATACAGAACAAGCCATGTGTGGTAATGAACACTTGTAATCCCAGAACTTGTTCAGGAAGAATGAATATTTTTCCTAAGACATAAGATTTAAAGTTATTTTTTAAAAGGATTGTATATAATTTAACTGGATCAACGTATTTGACCTAAGAGTCTAATACAGAAGTAACAAAACTCTTTTCTCCATCCTCAATTCCTTTCTTAACAAAATATAAGTATTTAGTGATGTTGTTATAGACAGTTTTCAAATATATATATAATATACAGGTGAATAGTAAAGTATTCGATTTGGAATATTTGCAGACAACAAATGAATATTTTCATGGACAATTAGGTAATGTGTAGAAGTCCAGATATATGATCTGTTTTTAAATCTCTGGTATTAATTAACATTAATATTATTCTTGGAAAGCATATTAGAGTATGGTCAATGAAGCAGTGTTTTCCACATTTTTGTTTTTTTCTTGCTCAAGTTCAAAAAAAAGAACTAAGGGGCCCAGGATTTAGCTCAGTGGTTTCACCACCTGCTGTGCAAGTGCAAGGACCCGAGTTAGATCCCTGGTACCCCCCCCAAATTTCCATATCAAGTCCATATATATAAAAAATGTACTATAGTCACATAAAATAAGCATATGTGACACATATGAAAATATATATAAGCTCCAAAGTCCAAGGTGGCTACTTAATGAGGGTAGGTGTATGTAAAGTGGTCTTAAAAAAAAAGAACTAGGGAGGATTCAGGATTTTCTGTTTGCATATCTATATTCAAACCCTAGCTGTGAACTTGAGCAAACAGTTAATTTGAGAGTTTAGGAATTACCTAACTGATTCTAAAATGAAGGTTTCAGTACCTTAGAAAGCTAATAATGTTGGTAATTTGTATCTGCCTTCTTTTTTCCCTTTTATTGTATAAAGAAGGCTTTTTTTTTTTTGGTACTGGGAATCAAACTCAGGACCTTGCACTTGCCAGGCAGGCATGGTGCCACTGAGCTAAATCCCCAGCCCCAAGAAGGCTTTTTAAGAAACCAGCTTTTAGATTCATTGATTTTTCTCTATATCTTGTATTTATAGTCTTATTTTTATTTCTATTTTGCTTATAACGAGTTTTGCTCTTTTCCTAGTACCTTAAATTGAAGTCATATCACTGATTTGAGACTTTTTTCTTTTCTCACATATACTTTTAATGCTATAAATTTTCCTGTAGACAGTGCTTCAGTTCTGTTTCCCAGATTTAATATTTTTTAATTTAATTCACAATATTTCCTAGTTTCTCTTGTGGTTTTTGTTTTATTATTTAGTTATTTGGAAGTCTTGCTAAATTTTCAAAGACTTAGATATTTTCTAGATCTTTGGGGCTTTTTGTTTGTTTATAGTTTAATTTCATTGTACTCAGACATTTGATGTGTGATCAAAATATACAGTGAATGTTTGAATTTAAAAATTATTACAGTAAAAGATGCATTGCCATTAATCTTCCTCAAAATACTCCTTCTCCCTTCACACTTATCCCATCCTTCTTGCCACTTTCTGGAGCAGTTCTGGAAGTCCTCTTTAGTGTCCTTATGAAGTGTGATCAAGACAGTGAATGCTTCTGCTGAGTGCTATTGAATGGAAAGGCGGACTCATAAAAACATTGTGTGTCGGGGTGGGGATTTAGCTCAGTGGCATCGCACCTGCCTTGCAAGTGCAAAGTCCTGAGTTCAATCCCCGGTACAAAAAAAAACCAAAACCTGGTCAAAAACATGGTGTGTCCTCATCCACCTTATTCACCAGATCTGGCACCATGCAACTTCTGGGTCTTCCCATAAGCTGAAATGACCATGAAAGGTAAACATTTGGAGTTGTTTTAGAACATTGAAACAGCCATGACTATGCAACTAAAGACACTCATGAAAGAGAACTTCCAGAACTGCTTTAGAAAGTGGCAAGAATGATGGGGTGTGTGTTTGAAGTAAGGGAGTGTATTCTGAGGGGGATCAATGTCTATGCATCTTTTTACTGTATTAAAGTTTTAAAAATTAAATCTTCACTGTATTTTTCTATCTTACCTTCTCAAGTTCATTTACATTTGTTTTAAATGGCTAAATCTTTATATCTTGATGTATATTCTATTTGCATTTGAAACAAGTAAATATTTTGCTATTATTTAGTGGAATGTTCTGTATATGTAATTAGTTTAAGTGACTAATAGTGGTGTTCATATTTTCTTTGTCCTTAACTAATTATGTACTTGTTCTGTCAATTACTGAGGGTGAAATGTTGAAATCTATAATTATAACTGTTGATTTGTCTGTTTATCCTTTCAGTACCATAGATTCCCCCCAACTATATGATTTATTGTCTGCTAGGTGAGAGACACATTATCAAGTATAATAGAGAATAAACAGTAAAAAATACTATAGTTCTTGAGAAAGAAGAGAATAAATTTATTTTATATTTAATTTTTATTCAATCTGGTATTATAACTTAATTGAAACTTCAGCTAAATTTATTCGGGGGGGGGTCAAGCTTTTTTAAAAAATTTTTTTATTTTTTGGTACCAGGGATCGAACTCGTGTCCTTGAGCTTGCGCAGCAGGCGACGAAACCACTGAGCTAAACCCCCGGCCTGGGGTCAAGCTTTTTTAAAGGAAGATGGCTTATATAACAAAGTATGTAATCAAGATCAGAAGATTTTATTTAAAAAATCAATCATGAACAACTGTGCTCTTCAAAATTAATCTTTATTATCTCCGTTTAATACATTCCTGCTGGCTTGAACCACCAGCAGTACATGCATGACTGTCCTGTTGGGTGGCTTGTACCACTCAATGGGACTGTCCTATGCCACCTGATGAGACAGTCATGCATGTAACCACTGGGGGTTCAGAGCCGCTGGGCAGCGAGATGTATGAATTGCGTCCCTGTTGTGAACATATTAAGCCCTATGATGGTAATCACAGGGTTAACTTCACTGGTTTGAGTGCCACCTAGAGAATTGGTACAGCATGACTTCCTAGGTGTCTGTGAGGTGTTTCCAGAGTATCAATGGCTGTGGATCAGTGAACTAAGTAGGGAAAATCCATCCTCAATGTAGGCAGGCACCATCCAAACTGAGTAGAACAGAAAAGCAGAAGAAAGACCTCACCGCCACCACCAGTTCTTCCTCCACAAGTAGGATGTACCTTCTTCTGTTGTTACCCTTTCAGACTTCAGATTCTTTCACCTTTGGACTCTGTGACTTGCATAAGTGGCCCTTGGAGGTTCTTGGGCCTTTACTGTCTGACTCTGACTGTAATATCATTCTCTCTGGTTCTGAGGATTTGGCTTCTTGACAGTGTATTTTTTTTTTTTTTGGTACTGGGGATCGAACTTTGGACCTTGCACTTTCAAGGCAGGCGCCAGAACCACTGAGCTTCCTCCTCTAGTTCCCCTTCCCCCCTTTCATTCTTGTTGATTTTTTTTTTTTTTTTTGGTACTGGGGATCGAACTTTGGACCTTGCACTTTCAAGGCAGGCGCCAGAACCACTGAGCTAAATCCCCAGCCCAAAATGTAGTGATGGACAACATGAGTCTTCCCTTTTTTTTGGTTCTGGGGATCGAACTCGAGTCCTTGTGCTTGCGAGGCAGGCAGCGGAACCACTGAGCTAAATCCCCAGCTGGCTTCTTGGACTAAATCATAACTACTCTCTTCTTTTGCTATAGCTTGTAAATGGTCATTGTGTAACTTTTCAGCTTCTGTGATCATGTGAGCCAATTTCCTAATAAATTCGTCTATCTAATCTTTTTTTTTTTCGTCTCCTGTTGGTTCTGATTCTCTGGAGAATCCTAAAACAAACCTAATAGTTTGTGGGGGTTTTTTTTGGTATCAGGGATTGAACTCGGGTCCTTGCGCTTGCAAGGCAGGCAGTGGAACCGCTGAGCTAAATCAACAGCCCAAACAAACCTAATCAATATTGCAGCTTTATTTTTGGAATGTTCTTGCCCATAGAATAATTTCTAACTTTTCCTACCCAATAGCTTATGGAGGGAGGCTTCCTTTTATTTTATTTTGTTTATTTATTTTTTATTTATTTATTTTTTTTGGTACCGAGGATCGAACTCGGGTCCTTGGACTTGCGCAGCAGGCGGAAAAACCACTGAGCTAAATCCCTGGCCCCGAGGCTTCCTTTTAGTAGCAGTTGCTACTTACTGAATCCAGCCCTCTTCAGTTTGTTCCTCTA